CGAGACGCGGCCACACGTTTAAGTTCGATGAGCCCGAAATTCTCGCGAGAGGAGATAATCGTGCGTTGCCTGAGTCATGGTTCACGGGACCTCTGTTTATCAACAAGTGCAACGACATCCCCATACCATATTCCTTGCTGAGGCATAGGCTGGCCAAAGTAATTGACCACTAGGGAGCGCGCAAGCCGGTGGGCCAGATGATTAAGCAATAATCACGCCATCATCCAACACGGGTGATGAGATTTCAGCAATTATTAACTTGCATGCCGGCCATCAAGCAATTAGCGCACCAGCGGGCAACAATCCTTGATGAAGCGGAGCGCGGTTAATTGCTATAGGTATGCGGTTGCATTGCGACTGCATCCTATAAATACTGCAACATCCTATGCACGAGTCACCCTTTTCTGTCTCTGTCTCTGATGCCGGGTTCAAGTGAGAATCCGAAACGTCTGGCGAATAAAGCCCTTGTTTCAGCGATCACTTCGTCTTCTGATCAAAATCATACCTATAACATGTGGAATTCGATCCCAGCCGACAAGGAGAACACGAATACTAGGACGGGGCTTCTAGAAGTTCTCACGTGTTTGCAGGCAGCAGCACATGACAGCCTCCAGCCCTTTAGATAACCTAATTTATCGCTGCCTCATTGGTGCCTGCTATATAAAAAGTCCTTTATTCCTGTTCCGGACCTACTGTCGTAGTTTTTGCAAAATTCCTATTCGACTGTGCTTAGTGGTCATTCAGACTGTGCACTTTGGCTCGCTCAGTTCAGTTTATTGAGGGAAATAGGCGTGTGCGGGTGTAAACTACTTTCAACGCAAAAATGGGGGAGGTGAACAGAGAAATTATCTAGGCTGAAATAAGTCAAACGGGTCCATCATATTACGACAAATTGTGTGTAAGTCTTAGGGGATGAGCTGGATCTCCACCGCTCTTATTCATCTCGGAAAACTTATATATCAGGACACAAATAGTTGACAAACCCACCCGAGGAAACAATATACTAGACGTTATTTTCACCAACGATATCTGGCCCCTCTATATGCACTACGACTGCGCAACCTTTGAAAGTGACCACAAAGCAATAATATCAACACTCCCCTTAAACGCAAAACTAGCACCCCATTTTAGTAGCACCCGCCTAAACCCAAAAAAACTTGACGAGGACTCCATGAACAACTATATTAGATCATTGGACTGGAGCCCATATCTTCTTACAACATCCCCTATGGAAGCAGTTAACCTATTACACTCTGTCCTATTTGTAATTCGAGATACCTTGATAGACGAAAGACTCCCGTATAAGAAATCACCAATCCCGAACTTCCTTTCAACTAAACTAAAAAAGCCACGAAAACAGCTACGCGACCCCTCCGTAAGTTATTTTTCCACACTTCGACGAATTAGGGAAATTCACGACCTAGTCACGAAAATAGAAACACAACAGACCATAGCAGCAGAACATCGGGCACTAGAATCCCCCGAACGAACAGCTCAGATGTTTCAGAAGCTAATGAGTAATCATCGACAGTCAGGACCACGAACTATTATTAATGAATTAGGGCAAGTTATAATCAATGATAAACAAATAGTAAACTTATTCAACAGATACTTCTCAGCTAACTACACAGTCGAAGATGGAACCATCCCCCAACCGACCGAGATGACTGAACGCATCCTTAGTGAGATTCATTTTAGTGAAGAAACTATTAAAGTAGCCATCAAACAACTATCAAACACCAAATCCTATATGACAGAAAAAATCCCACCATGTATTCTGAAGCATATGACATATGCTCCAATACACCTATCTTCAATAAACTAGACGAACTAAGAGACTTTGTTGATGAAATTAAGCCAGACATTATGGCATTCACAGAAACGTGGCTTACTGAAGATATCGCAGATTCAGAAATATCACTTAGAGGATATCAGCAATTCAGGAGAGATCGACTAAGCCGAGGAGGAGGAGTCATAATTTAT